GCTCTGGGAGCTCCCCTGGGCCAGCCTGGAATAAATGACCTCCCTCTCCATCCCTGAGGAGCCACTCTGGCCAGGACACATCCAAGCTACTCATATCCTCAACAACTCCGAGGATAATAGGTGGGATATGAATATTTCTTATGTACTTGAAGGAAATATCCATCAGCAAAAACAAACACTGCTGGGGTGTGGGGTTTTTTCCATTTAAAAAAGCTCCAGACTGTTTTTTTTCTGCCCATAACCAAAGCCAGGAGTATTTACAACAGATTTTTCCTACTTAGGCAAAAGAGTAAAAGGGAGAGATACCCCAATATAGGTCAGAGGTTGGACTTGATGATCTTGGAGGTCTTTTCCAACCTTAATGAATCCCTGGTTCTATAGGATCTTTTTTACAAAATTCCCATTAGCTTGCATTAACCAAATTTAGCAGCACGGAAGCACAAACTTGACTGAAGTGAAGGCAATGCTGGAAGAAGAGAGTCTGGAATCTTTCAAGGTCTCAGAAGATTTCCCTTGGAAGTAGAACAGACTGAAGGAAACATTTATTTGGGGGCGGGGGGGGAGGGGAGAAGTTCTGATTTCTTCAGGGTTTTTATGCTGGATAAATATGTCAAAACCTGAGTATTCCCTTCTCTTCCTTCTCCTCTGACCTGCTCTGTGCTGGGATGGATGTCTAAATAATCATTTAGGTATTAGCTGCACAGAGTTCAGCAAGCAGCTTTGGAAATGCTTACATTATCTCCTTTTTTTTTTTTCTTTTAATCTGTCTGTGAATGTTCAGTTCCACTGATTTGAGGCCAACAAGAGGAGCTGTATCTCCTGAGCATGTTACAGCTCAGCCTTTTATTACAGGAAAATGCTCTGTATTCCTCCAGCAGCCAGGGCTGGCAAAGCACATCTCATTGTTTACTGAGGACTTTGATATCCTTCACTGAAAGGCACTGTGGTTCTTGCCATCGCTGAATCCATGCCCTGTGGAGCAGAGCCAGGTTGGAGAGGGGCACGTTTGGAAATGGGATCCAAGCGGCCACTTACCAGAAGTTCTGGAAAATACCCTCTGGTCAGTGGAAATCTTGCTGATGGGCACAATATCTGTGGCATGGCTTCTTGCTGTCCCTGCTTCTCTTGCATCTGTGGTGCCCAGTGACAGGAGCTGGAGCTGTGCCAGGGCAGGCTCAGGGTGGATCTCAGGGCAAGGTTCTTCCCCCAGAGGGTGGTTGGCACTGAACAGGCTCCCCAGGGCAGTGGGCACAGCCCCAAGGCTGCCAGAGCTGCAGGAGGGTTTGGATGATCCTCTGGGGCACAGGGGGTGACTGCTGGGGATGGGGCTGTGCAGGGCTGAGGGTTGGACTGGATGATCCTTGCGAGTCCCTCCCAGCTCAGCATATCCTGGGACTCTGTGATCAAAGCTCTTTGCATGCTTTGAACTGACCTATATTTTTAAGGGGGGAAAAAAGCATTATCTGTGAGTGTCAGCCTCTGCTGTGCTTTCTGTCCCTCCTGTCGTGGCCCTGCAGACCGTGTCCCACTGTGTCACCTCCTGCAGGTCGATGTGACGCGGCACAGCCCGTGCAGGCGCAGCGAGGCAGAACCATTTACCCCAAACAGGAGATCCCTCCTGAGGGACTCCCGGTCAATAATAGCACATCCATGTGGGGTGGTTCCTTTGCAGATTGGATAATGGTGCCCCTCAGCCCGTGCCTGCAGTGCCTGCAGCTTGGAAATGCATCCCGAGAGGAGCCGGGAGACGCAGGCGGCACTGATGGCACCGACAGGCTGCTGTTGGCAGGGACAGGAGGGAAGCAATTACAGCCTTCCCACGGATGGGAAGTGCTGCTCAGCTCCCTTTCTTCTAGGCAAGCAAGAAAACTTTGTTAGAATCTCCTGTAGTATGAAGCAAATGCTTTTAATCAGTCAGGAACGCGCCGGGTTCTCTGCAAGGCGCTGCAGGAACGAAGCCAAGGGAGGAAACTCAGGAAAATCGGGATGTAAGGCAGGACAGAAATAGGCAAGACAAACTCAGATGACCTCAGTGCACCCCCCCCCAGGGAGGCTGGGGGGTGGCTGGACATCCAGAGCTGTCCTGGTGTGGCCATGAGGGTTTGCTCCAGCTGAGGACCAGCCCCGAGAGCGCTGAGGCTGCTCAGAGCCCGCAGTGACACAACACAGGAGGAGCCCCCGGTGCTGCCAGAGGGGGCTGGGGAGCAGGGGAAACCACGGAAAACTGCAGAGTGCCGTTTCTGTCACACGAAAAAAGCGTGCTCCTGAAAATGTTGGCGTGAAAGGAAGGCTGAGAGGGAGCTCTGCTGCTTCCCTGAGCCTTCAGTGACACCTACAGACAGTCACACACATCCCTGAGCCCTGCCTGGCTCCTGAGCCTCCCAGGGATGTGCAGGAAGGGGCTCCAGGTGCTCCAGCCGAGGTTTAGGTTGGATATTAGGAAAAATTCTGTAAGGAGGGGTTGTCCAGCCCTGGCACAGCTGCCCAGGGCAGTGGTGGAGTCCCCATCCCCATGTGTAGATGTGTCATTTGGGGACGTGGGTCAGTGGTGGCCTTGGCAGTGCTGGGGGAATGGTTGGATTTGGTGATCGTAGAGGGCTTTTCCAACCTAAACAATTCCATGATTCCATGAAACCTGTGGGCTGATTTTTGGAGGAGCCAGGCACTCAGAGTTCCTACATCTGCAGGAGCTGTGCTGAGCTGCTCTGGCCTTTAGCAAACACCCATTTCTTTACATTCTTTATATCTATATAGAATATAAATTCTATTATAACTCTATATTCTGTAATTCTCAATAAATATTTTAACTATATTTTAGAACATAAATATATTCTATAATTGTATAGAATTCCAGAATACAGAATATATGCCAGAGTTCTACTTGAGAATATATTCTGTATTCTACAATTCTATACAATTATATTCTGTATATTTATACTCTTCACTCTTTACATGTTTATAAAACAGATGAACTTCTGATGCTGGGAGGGATTTCAGGGAGTGATTCCATGCCTGAGCCCCACTGCTGGTGTGGGTATTCCTGTAGCATCCTGAGCTTGGGATGTTCCAGATCTTCTTGAGTTTCAGCTGTAGCAACACCAAGTGACTGGAAAATCCTGATACATCAGTCATCCAAAATAATGCCATAAATCTAAGCAATAATTAAACATTGTTTTAGTCATGTGCACTTATACTGCTTATGCCTAAGAAATTTTAAATGTATTAATCATGTAATTGTATCAATTAGTTAAACCTCATAATACCTCCTGTGGTTGTGTTAAGAGTTTCTCTGGTTAGAAGTGAACTCAAAATACAGATGAACTAAATTTGTCCAAGATCATACAGTCAAGTCCCCCAGGACTTGATCTGAAATCCATACAGAAAGAGATTAAATCTTTTTCACCACCTCCTGTACACTTCTGATATGGTCTTTGAAAATCTGGGAGCAGCTTTGCATCCCCTGGATTTCAGGGAGTAGTTCTGTCCAGTCCATATCTTTGTTGCTGTATCTTTATTATTCTAGCAGAGGCTTAAGCAGTTGGGCAATAGTCTCTGGAAGAAGTAGTTAAGATTTTGGTGTCATCTCCCAGAGACTGAATAATGCTGGTATTATTTTAGCCTGACAGTTGTGCAGAATAGATTTTTGGAATAAGCAAAAATATCTATCTCTATATGATTTTCAGACTTTTGGTCTCATTGTTAAGCAATATTTTGTCTCCTTTTCATTTCCTCCGAGGCCCTGTAGAAAAAAATGACTGCATTTTTGTCAACAGAAATGAAAGAGAAATGTTTAGCTTTGGAGGCCGAGGGAATTCACGGGCACAGCCGAGGAGCTGGAGTCTGCATAACGTGTCGTGGCTCATCTTTCTGTGCCACCATCTTGCTCCTGCTGCAGGACTCAAGTGAAAAATAGACCATTAAAGCAGTGGTAAAGGATCTGTGTGAACTCCAGCTGTGAATAAGGGATTAGTCCTGAAGCTGAGGTGGAGCTGCTGCCTGTATTTAACAGGCAGAACTTGCTACGTCACAGATCCCTGCAGGTCTGGGGGCTTCCCTTTGGAAGTGTCGTGTTCAGGGCAATGCCCTTTTTTCTGCTTCACCTCCCTAAAATAACTTCCTCCGTTCTAGCTCAACAGGGCAGTGACATCTTGTGTAAGACCACAGAGGACTTAAAATGTGAGTCTGACCTGCTGATGAGCTGCACATCAGACAGAGGAGTCACTGCACCCAGAGCCACCTCCCACCCCAAAACCCCTCTCTGACACCACTCCAGCACTTGGCTCGGTGGGGCAGGGTTTTGGTGTCCATGGTGTCCCAGCTCTCATTATTCACCTTTATTTTTCGTGGGGACTCTCCTGGCACGGAGGAAACAGCCTGGCTTTGAAATGTCAAACCCCAGAGACTGTGGCCAGTGCTCTACACCATCACCAAGTCTGCAGTAAAAATAAGGTACAACAGCAACCTCAGCCAATTCTTTCCCTTTCCAGGTGTGAGCAGATACCACCCATGTTTTTATCACCTTCTTCGTTCTAGTTTTTGGAGATTTTACACTGAGAGAGTTTTCTTGAGGCAACATTTAATATAGGAACAACAGAATAGCTTTCTGATAACCATGGTGAACAGTGTGTGACTGTGAAACAGCCCTTTGAAGTAAGAAGATTCAGAGAGAAGAGAATCTCTGACCTCTGAGCTCTCTCAAAAATTTTAACCAAGCCTTTCAGATCTGCTGCACACTTTTCCAGCCCTTTCTTTTCTCCTTCTTCATCAGGAATGGTGGCTGGAAGAGGATTCTGGAGGGTTTGTTAACAGTGTTTCAATCCAACAGCTGGAGAAAGGTATTGGAGGATGAAAGCAAAGATGGGATGGTTCACTTGCTGCATTAAGGACCTTCCTAAGTGATCACCAGCTGTGGGAGATTGCTTAGGATCTCTCCCAGCTCTACGTGTTCCTCAGGAGCACCAGATCAACGCTCTCTTCTCCCCTTCCTTTGTTGTTTGCAGATCCAACCCGGGTGATGGTGTCACCTTTCAGCATGGATGTCACGGTTGGAGAGAGCATCGTCCTGCCTTGCCAGGTCTCCCACGACCACTCCCTGGATATCATGTTCACCTGGTCATTTAATGGGCACCTGATAGACTTTGAAAAGGATGGGGATCACTTTGAACGAGTGGGAGGGGTAAGTATTAACTCTAACGCAGGTGACAACAGAAAAGGGCTACTGAGAGAAGGAATGGACTTGGCTAAGGGATTTAAAAGCCATGTGGCACTTGGGGACATGGTTTAGTGCTGGATTAATGATTGGACTCAATGCTCTTAAAGGGCTTTTCCACCCTAAATGATTCCATGATTCTGTGTTGTTTTCTGTGCACAGACTGAGATGAGCATTGCCAGTGCGTTAGGTCATTAGAGCTGGTGCAGAGTTGCTGTGATTTCCTTAATGACGTGACAAATCTGCTCAAATGAGCGATGGGATGGATGTCAGGAGACCTAAAAGAGGTTTTCTCACTGCAAAAAACTGACTCCTCCTTCGAGGAAGAAATCCATAATAGATTTTCTCTGACTGAAAGAGTAAAATAAACGTGAGCCATAACAATTGTAGAACTTTGTATTTATAGAGAAAATAGCAGGAAATCAGACAATATCCTCAAAAATGCTCAGGCAGGGTTTGTTGCCGTGTTTATCTGTCTCTGTGTCCTCCTCTTGTGACCACATGCTTAGAGTAACTCTTTTTTCCTCTGCACAAAATAACCTGCAGAGTGTTGCAAACATCCCCCACCCCTGGAGGTGACGTTTCTTCTCAGTCTTATCTCTGCAGGTTTCCTGGCAATGCCACGTTGGTATCTCTGGGTTGTTTGGTTGATTTTTTTCGTTTATGGGAAGCCCAGTCAGTACCCACTGGCATTGGAAACTTCTGCAATGCCCAGAGAATTGTTGATGTGAAGGTTGAAAAGTTCATGTTCATGGAAATCAGACAGTCGGGAGAAGGACAAGTGGGGAATGATGGTTGGATAGTCCATTAAACACAGCCCTGGCCAGGGCTGCTGCTCAGGACCATGGTCAGGTGGCAGAGGGGGGAAGAAAAGGTGGAAAGGTAGGAATTGCTGACCTTCTTTAGGAGAGGAGAGAATTTTCTTGGGACATTTGGCACTTTGTGCCTCTGCAGGAAGGTTTAGGATCAGAGCACCCTCAGCAGGGCAAGGGTGCCCTGCTGGCCCATCTCTGCTTGGCTTTCTCTGCTCTTACCTCACTTTCGAAGGGCAGGTTGTTAAATTAAATTAAAACCACTTTTCTGGTAGTTTTAGATTTCCTGAAGATGATGAGACATAAATTTTGGGAACTGGAGAAGGCCAGTGCTCAATGAGACCCCTCAGGATGCCGTCAGTTAGAGAGGGGCTTCACACAAAGAGGTAGCACATCTGTCAGACCTGCCCCAGCTTCTCATGCCAATTTTATGACTCAAAATAATTCCCAAATAATTTTTAGTAAGACAAGCAGTGATTTCACAGACCATGTCTGAAAGATGGGGAAAAAATGTGCTTTGTTTGTAACCCTAACATTTTCCTTTGCAGTACAGAAGTTCATCTCATTTACCCTGTTTAGTCAGGGCTTGGGTTATTTAAATTGTAATTTATCCTTCCTGATGATTTTTTTTTTCACTTTTATTGGGTGAAAGGAGATAGAAAAATGAGGAAAAAAAAAAGGCAAAATTTTTATCAAGGGTTTTTCCTGTGTCTCTAAAGAAGGCTCAACAGAGCTGTGGACTCTGCTGAATCTCAGGCAGAGTGACAGTCCATATTTACATTTTTCAGGGGTGAAATTTAATGCTGAAAGGAAAAGAAAATAAAATTTCCAAGCCTTAGAAGATGCCCTTACAGATTGATGCCCAGGGTGAACATCAGCAGTGTGTGGTGACTTGCACCTGCTTGGCCTGCAAAGCTGAAATTACAAACTTGATTAATATTTCTCAGTCAAAAAGCCACAATCAAGAGGTTACCCTGAGATTTCCAATGGATCCAATGCTTTGTGTCTTGGAGAAAAATTTAGAGAGTGTTTTTAGCTTCTGATACACAGAGAAACCTAATTAGTTCTATTCAATAGGTAATCAGACATGCACTTGGCATTTGGAAAACAAATTAATGCTGTTAGGTGATGCAAGATTTCCTGGGAGAGCTCTGTTCTGGTGATCTTTAGCACAAAAACACCGGGCAATCAGAATGCTGCCTGCAAGACAAAGCCAGGAGATTATTGCAGATGCCTTGGAATTCGGGCTGGGTTTCACTTGTGGAAGGAAGGGAGACACAACTTGGGCATGTGAACATCAG